TTGTGTGCGTGACTGTGGGTGTTTGTTTGTGCGTGTGTTTGTGTATGTGTATTTATGTTGTGTGTGTGTGCGAGTTTATGTTAAGTGAACGTAGCCTGGCACGTTCAGCAGAGATTACGTCTCCGCGTGCATAATACAGTCGCGTTAACGTGCGTGAACGTGTGTGCATGTGTGTGTGGAAGTGTGTGTGTGGTGTGTGTGTGTGTATGTGTGTGTGTGGTGTGTGTGGGTGTATGTGTGTGTGGAAGTGTGGTGTGTGTGTGTATGTGTGTGAGGAGCGGTGGTGTAGCGGTTAGCGCTACGCTGCACTACGAACCTGGCTACCCGAGTTCTATTCCCGCTCACGGCCAACACCACAGTGACGATTATGTGAACCGGTCCTGGGCCTTCCCTAGGTCAACTCAGCCTCAAATGTGTACCTGTTACGGTGTGTAGTAAACATCGCCACTGGGGAGACAAAGGCGGCCGGGCGAGGTGTTGGCCACCCACCCCCTCACGTGCCGTGCCGGACATCATAGGTGCTGCTCGCTGACAGCACTTGCCCCAACAGTCTGTGAAGGCTACACGGGGGATCTTTGCCTTTGTGTGTACATGTGTATACATGTGTGTACACGTGCGTACGTGTGTGTGTGTGTACGTGTACATGTGTGTACGTGTGTGTACGGTGTGCACACGTGTGTACGTGTGTGTACGTGCGTACGTGTGGGTACGGTGTGCACACACGTACGCACGTACACACACGTGCACGTACATGTGTGTACGTGCACGTGTGTGTACGTGCAGGTGTGCACGTGTGTGTACGGTGTGCACATGTGTATACATGTGTGTACATGTGTGTACGGTGTGCACACACGTACACACCCGTACACACACGTGCACGTACGTGTGTGTACGTGTGTGTACGTGTGTGTACGGTGTGCACACATGTGTATACGTGTGTACGTGTGTGTACGGTGTGCACACACGTACACACCCGTACACACACGTGCACGTACGTGTGTGTACGTGTGTGTACGTGTGTGCACACATGCTCTGTCCAAATCTCCCTGGCCACAGTGCAAAGGTCACCTGCTGCTCCTGTTTTGGTTTGTGGGGGGTAGTGGGGGGTAATGGGGGTCTAGTGGGGGTCTGGTAGGGAGTACTGGGGGTCTAGTGGGGTCTAGTGGGGGTAGTGGGGTCTAGTGGGTGGTAGTGGGTGGTAGTGGGATCTAGTGGGGGGAAGTGGGGGTAGGTGGGCTAGTGGGGTCTAGTGGGTGGTAGTGGGTGGTAGTGGGATCTAGTGGGGCGAAGTGGGGGTAGTGGGTGGTAGTGTGGGCTAGTGGGGTCTAGTGCGGGGGTAGTGGGTGTTAATGGGGTCTAGTGGGGGGTAGTGTAGTGGGGGGTAGTGGGGGCTAATGGGGTCTAGTGCGGGGGTAGTGTAGTGGGGGGTAGTGGGGGCTAATGGTGGGGTAGTGGTGGGGTAGTAGGGGCTGAGCTGTGGGAACTCTGGGGCGAGGTGGGGGTGGGGGAATGAGTTGGGGTCAAGGGTCAGGGTCGTGGTGTTTGTGAATGCTGCGTTTTTGTAACAACCAGGGGATAGTTTTTTTTTTATCGCGCCGGGAGTGAATGAATCCCCCCATGCACCGAGCGAGTGCTACATGCATGGGGAGACAAAGGCGGCCGAGCGTGTGCCGAGCCCGCCTTAATAGGTGTTCGCTAACAGCATTGCCCCAACTGTCGGTACGACTACACGGGAAATCGTTGCCTTTGTGCGTATGCGCATATATTTGGGAAGCAGCGGTGTAGTGGTTCGTGCATTGTGCTACGAACCCGGGGAGCCGAGTTTGATTCGTGAAATCTGGCCTCACCTGGGATTGTTCAAATGAGTAACTGGTGCTGGACCAGGCAATCAGTAGACCAGGCAACCAGTAGACCACGCAACCAGTGGACCAGGCGCCCAGTGGACCAGGCGCCCAGTGACCAGGTGCCCAGTGGACCAGGCTCCCAGTGGACCAGGCAATCAGTAGACCAGGCTACCAGTGGACCAGGCGCCCAGTGGACCTGGCACCCAGTGGACCAGGCACCCAGTGGACCAGGCACCCAGTGGACCAGGCACCCAGTGGACCAGGCGCCCAGTGGACCTGGCACCCAGTGGACCAGGGAACCAGTGGACCAGGCTCCCAGTGGTGCCCTAGCATCTGCTTGAGCGACAATCCTGAACCTCATCCATTTTCCTCTCGGAGTCAGGAGGAGGAAGATGAGGAGAGTGGGTGGGGGGAATGATGCCAACTCCAGCTGCAGGGTATTGTCTAATCCTCGCTAGCAAACATCCAATGCCGGGCCTAGTGGGGGTCCTCGGTGGACACCCACCATCACCATCGCAATGCAAGAATACCAGGGGCGTCCGGCAGATGACGAGCCGGTGGTCAGTGGATAACTCAACTCCACGTGTGGAGCGCAGTGGCCTCCCGTTAACTCTTCCATCACTACGCAGGCCAGCAGATGTTCCATCCGGGATCTGGCATGCACCCAGAATGCCGTGTCGATGTTGCCCTGGCGATGGTAACAGCGTGCTGGTGACTGCATAAGTCTAGCAGCAGCAGCAGCGGCAGCAGGCACCTGCTAACGTTCTTATTGAGCTGATGTGGCCCATGACTTCCAAAAAAAAAAAATCACTCTGGCCCAAGGTGCCTGTACCGTGACCCAATCGGGCATTCAGGTCACCCTACAGGATGTCTCTATCCCGACGGGCCACTTTAGCTAGCACCTGTGACAGGAAGTCATAGAATTGGGCTCTGATCCATCGGCATTGCCTACATCCCTCCACTGGCCTTCGTCTATGGCGAGGGGCCGTAAGCCACCAACATTCCTCACCTCCTGTTGACGGGAAAGCGAGCCCACTCGTTGCTTCCTCTTCCACACCGCCAAGCTCCCACACTGCCTTCTCAGTCTCTTAATCAGGAGAGCAACTCGCCCTGTTGTTTGATGCTACCCTGCGCCGACTAGGGGGACCGAGTGGAGGAATGTCCATCCCTCGTGGTGACTGGAGCCACAACCAGCTCACAGGAGTTCCGCTACGCCACTGATTGTACCGGTCCAGCTCCAACAGAGTAATCAATACCAGGTGGCATCGTTGCAGACGACGAGCCAATGGTCAGTGGATAAATCGCCTCCATGTGTCCAGAACAACAGACAAAGACCCGTCCCCTCGTATAGCCTCGACAGACTGTTGGGGCAAGTGCTGTTCGTAGCAAGCGGCGGCACCTACGAAGGCCGGCACGACACACGAGGGGGTGGATGGCCAGCACCACACCGGGCCACCTTTGTCTCCCTGGTGGCGATGTTTACGCATTGCACAAGGCACTCATACGAGGCCGAGTCGACCTCGGGGAAGGCCCAGAACCGGTTCGGATCATCGTTATTGGTGGTGGCCGTGAGCTGGAATCTCACTCGGGTTGCCGGGGTTCGTAGCGCAGCGGCTGTGCCACCGCTCTCCATGTGTCAAGCACAGAGGTCGCACACACCGACACGGGCGGGGGGGGGGGGGGGGTCCGGTGGCCCGGTCCTTGCTCCCCCCGCCGCCCCCCTGCCACCCCTCTTCCTGGCAAGCATGAGAACATTCCACGTGGCCGGGCCGCAACAGTCGCCCGTTGTTGCTGTTGTTTGCTGGAGGCCACTGAGCGCCAGTGGCTTAAGTTGCCCTGGCACCACCAGCTCGGTGGGGGGGGGGGGTGGGGGATGGTGGAGGGGGGGGGGGTATCGCCAGGGCATATCGCTGATCGCATGTCCTCTCCGGACCTCCGGCTCACGCGCGCACACACACACACAGACACACACCGGCATTGGAGATTTCGTTACGCGCATGGTTTTGGTCGGCCAAATAAATTGGTGGCAGGAGTTGCCGATTTAAATCGCTACCCAATCCAGGGATCCCGTTGGTCGATCGCGACGCGGATGCGGCGCCTCACTGCGTGGTGGCTAGGAGACGTTGACTACCTCGCCTCTGCATGCAGGATGGCGTGGGTTCGATCTCGACCCCCGACGATGCCGGCTGCTGCATATTTGGAGTTTGCGTCCATTTCTTTCAGGTGGCCACGTGGATTTTTCCTCCGGGTCCTCCGGTTTTTCCCCACCACATTTTGGAATCGACGTCAAGCGTTGAGAGCATTTGGCTGCTGTAAATTTCTACGCCGTAAGCCACTTCGCTGAGCTATCACTTGCGCTGGGGCTAGGTGGACACCCACCATCGCAGTTTCTGAAAAAGAGCTACACACAGCTCAGTGGGGCCTTACCCGGTAAAATACAAAAAGGTGAGTTCTAGTTGATTTACACTCGATCACTACTCGACTTATACTCCCGCCAGGTTTGCCCAGATGGGGGACCATATTTTCCAGACAGCAACGACAACAACCCACTCCCCTCCCCCCCCCCCCTTTACGACACGCAGGTTCAGAGAGGCGTGTGGCACTCCAAGCACCGAGTTGGGTGGTCCGCGGTTTTTGCGAAGGAGATGAAAGCTGTGTTGGTCAGCCCCGTGGTCGCCAATCGCCCGACCGTCGCTTACGTGACCTGCGGTGCCACCCCCCTCGTCCTGAACCAGAAGATGCGGTGATCTCATTGCCAACTCCCCAGAATCAGGATCTGATCACCAACTACCAGAATCAATTTATGACCAACAACTCCCTAGAATCAGGTTTTGATCGGCAACTCCCAGAATCAGAATCTGATCACCAACTCCCCAGAATCAGGATCTGATCACCAACTCCCAGAATCAGGATCTGATCACCAACTCCCCAGAATCAGGATCTGATCACCAACTCCCAGAATCAGGATCTGATTGCCAACTCCCCAGAATCAGGATCTGATCACCAACTCCACAGAATCAGGATCTGATCACCAACTCCCCAGAATCAGGATCTGATCACCAACTCCACAGAATCAGGATCTGATCACCAACTCCCAGAATCAGGATCTGATCGCCAACTCCACAGAATCAGGATCTGATCGCCAACTCCCCAGATTCAGGATCTGAGTGAGTAGGTGAGCGAACTGCTGTGGGAGAGTGGCAGCTGTGTGTAGGCTGCGCTGCGAGACATCAGCACGACTCCTGGGACCACAGGACGGGTTCCGCAGCATTAAACATCAACGCTAGGAAGGCAAAGACGGCCGGGAAAGGTTCCTGGCCGCACCACTCATGCGCCGTGCCAAGTGCTAGCAGTACTTGGCCCAGCAGCCTGTGTAGCTGCATGGGGGACCTTTGTATGTGTGGGGTGTGTGGGTGAGTGATGGGCTGATTCGCTGGTGGAGAGACCAACCTTTATGGGGAAGTAATCTCGGAAGTAGTTCCACACATCCCAGTTCCGCACCCAGTTCGTCCTCCGACCTCCTGAGTTCGGGAGGTGAGGAGGGGAGTGGGGGGGGGGGGGAGCGGTGGCGCAGCGGTTAGCGCGCTGCGCTATGAACCCGGCGAAACGAGTTGGATTCGCACTCACGGCCAACACCGTTGACGATTATCTGCACTGGTCCTGGGCCTCCTCTAGGTCGACGCAGCCTCAAATGAGAACCTGGTGCGGTGTGTCGTAAACATCGCCACTGGGGAGACAAAGGCGTTCGGGAGTGGTGCTGGCCACCCACCCCCTCGTGTGCCGTTCCGGGCTTCATAGGTGCTCGCGAACAGCACTTGCCCCAACAGTCTGTTCAGGCTATACGGGGGATCTTTGTATTTGTTTGTGTGTGCGTGTGTGTGCGTGTGTATGCACGTGTTTGCTCGGCTAAAGTCCCGTTATCTTAACTTCGATAGCTCAAGGAATGGCGATGATAACAACATCGATGCTGATGTTAATGATGTTTTCAGGCTGTTTGCGTCATTTTCCACGTGACTTTGCCGAAAGAAGCAAAGAGTAATTCCGGCAGTCACAGAAGCTTCGAATCGAGTGTGAACCACCTCCACGGGGAGGGTTTAATCACAACCCACACGTAACTTCTAATATTAGCAATCTTTGGGAGAATGTAATCAGCCAGGCTATGCGTTAACTGTGTGTTAGCCGACTCTCTTTGTTGCATTGCATTACGCTTGTTAATTTTACTACATTTTGATTTAAAGCTTTCGTGACTGCAGGCATTCATATTCTTGGTTCTTTCGGGTAAAGTCCAAGACAGAGGTTCTTTGCAAGCCATCTGGCTACCATGAGAGATTAAATTCATGAGGCTATCCACATATACAAACGCAGAGACAATTTCCACCGAGAAGATGGATTCTGGCTTAGCAATCATTGGAAGGATTTGATAAACCATTTCGGGTCTTAATTGATTCTAGATTTGAAGCTTTCGTGACTGCAAGGATCCATACTCTTTGGTTCTATTCGGTAAAGTCACGTAGGTAAAAAATGAAACAACAAAAATCACGACGTTTTGGTCACAACAGAAGTGGCCTTCATCAGGTGAAGGGATCAGGCTGTCTCGAGGACAGCGCTGGAGTGAACACAGCCAAGCTCAGACCGCGACCTTTAAGCTGCGAGAGGAATTAAGGTGCCTTGACAAAGGAATTACCATAACAATTAGCATTTAATTGGCGGACTTAGCATGATGAACGGTGTAGAGGGGGTGAACATGTGCAGGCCGGCGAGGGGGGGAGGGGGAGTTTACATATTGATGGTGTGAAAAGGGAATTTTAAGAAGCTGCGAAAGTTTGGGGTACCACTACTTGAAAGTTTGGGGTACCACTGGGGTACCACTACTTGAAAAAGTAGTGGTACCCCAAACTTTCGTAAGCGTGAACAATCAATCTTAATTGATTGTTCACGCTTACGGTGGCTTTCAGACCGCATCCATTATTTTCGTCTCCCCCCCTCCTCTTTTCCGAACATAGATGAACTCGTCCATCTGAATAACTGCCAAATCGCTCTCCGTGGTGCTAACGTTAAGAAAAAAACGCCACTTTTTTCAAAATTTCTTGCTGTGGTTTTCACACCTGATGATGATTGCTTGTGTTGCAGTCGAAACGTCGCGAGAATTTTATTGTTTTATATTTGTCTTATTTTCTTGTTTCCCTTCTACGTGGTGACTTTACCGAAAGAACCAAGAATATATATTTTACGAAATTTGTTTCCTAAAAACTTCCGATTTTCTTGCTCCAAGTATTGCCGTGCTGATTTGTTTATAGTCCATTGTCTCTCCTCCGGCAACTATGGTCCGGAATTCCACACAACTCTCTCACTGTCCTCTACCCCACCCCCCCTCTCTCTGCCCTCCCCCCCCCTCTCTCTCTATTTAAAGCCTCGACACAGTGGAGCTGTTTTTCTGTTCGCCAATCTTTGGAGGAGCGTCGGTCAGCCAGGTGGGGGTGTTGGCTGCTGCGTTGGCCGGCTCTCTGTGTTGCGTTGTTGCATTGCGTTTCTAAGTTCGCTACGTTTGTTTGTTTCTTCTCATCAATTCTTACCCAATGGCGGTTGCTTGCATTGCAACCGAAACGCCGTATTCTGTTGTTATTTCATTTGATTTTTTTTTACGTCACTTTACCGAAAGAACGAAGGAGTGGTTGTTTTCAAGTTAATCTTCGATATCTGCTGATGGTTTATCACTCAAAACACGAACAAGGTATTTTATATATATACATTAAACAAGCGTGCATTTATTTGCGTGTTTAACACGTAGGCTTTCGCGAGCAATACCCATAATACAGGCGTTTTTTTGGGTTCGATCGCGTACATATTTACGCTACATAGCCCAGACAAACTTGTATTATGGAAAATACGCACACACATGCATGGCAATAACAAAGATCCCCCGTGTAGCCTACAGCGGCTGTTCGGGCAAGTGCTGTTAGCGAGCACGTGCTGTTAGCGAGCACCTATGAATGCCAGCACGGTGCACGAGGGGGGGTGGGTGGCCAGACCAGCGCCATGCCCGACCAAACTTTATCTCCCGGTTCAGATCATCGTCACTGGTGTTGGCCGTGAGCGTGATTCGAACTCGGGTCGCCGGGTTAGCAGCGCAGCGTAGCGCTAACCGCTGCGCCACCGCTCCCCACACAGACGCACGCATAGACACTCAGAAGACACGTCTCCATATATATATAAAACGGCAAAGTTGTGATTGTGTGTGTCTGTTCAAAATGTTTAGCGTACTTCCCGACATGCAACAAACCTGAAATTTGCCATGTGGGTACTTTCCAGACTATACACCATGCAAAAATTATAAAAACACACTTTGGTTTTTGGGGGGGTGAGCTCAAAAATGCATAGATTTTTTGCACGGCAAGTGAGCTGTGACGTCAAATCTGTCACGTGACCCGCGCACGTGGAAGCGTAACGCATTGTAGTGTAGTGGTTAGCGTGCTGTGTGTGTGTCTGTGTGTGTGTCTGTGTGTGTGTGTAATCTGTGTGTGTGTAATCTGTGTGTGTGTGTATCTGTGTGTGTATCTGTATGTGTCTGTGTGTGTGTGGAAGCCTAACGCATTGTAGTGTAGTGGTTAGCGTGCTGTGTCTGTGTGTGTATCTGTGTGTGTATGTGTGTCTGTGTGTAATCTGTGTGTGTGTAATCTGTGTGTGTGTGGAAGAGTAACGCATTGTAGTGTAGTGGTTAGCGCTACGCTGCGCTACGAACCCGGCGACCCGAGTTCGATTCCTGCTCACGGCCACCACCGGTGACGATTATTTCAACCGGTCCTGAGCCTCCCCTAGGTCGACTCAGCCTCTAACGAGTAACTGGTGTGGTGTGTGAACATCGCCACTGGGGAGACAAAGGCGGCCGGGCGTGGTGGATCCAAGCCCCGGGCGAAGCCGGGTAGTACATCTAGTTATATATATATACACACACCTGCGGTTATGAGGGATGCCATTCCTACAGATGTTAGCCATGACAAACGGGGACACGTGAGAGTCAATCCCTGGATCTGGCCGTATCTCTCTCTCTCTCTGAGGGTTCACGATCTTCATCTTCTACTTCCGCACGGGCTGCCGATGTAGATTCAGAGCAACAGCTGCAATTTCACATTCAGGTGGACCATGCCAGCGGCCAAGCCGCGTCAGCAGGAGCAGTAGTCGGAGTAGTCGGAGTAGTCGTGGATCATCATCAACATCATTCATCATCGCCGTGATGTCTCCTCCATTGTTACTTGTGGATCGGGACATTGCGTCTGTGCACGTTGTACGGTTTCTGCGCCGCGGTAGTGATAAGGGGTATGGGAAATGATACGGCCAGTAATAGAGGTAGTAATAGGGGTGAAGGGGTAGTAATAGGGGTATGGGTAATGATATGGCCAGTAATAGGGGTAGTAATAGGGGTATGGGTAATGATATGGCCAGTAATAGGGGTAGTAATAGGGGTATGGGTAATGATATGGCCAGTGATAGGGGTAGTAATAGGGGTGAAGGGGTAGTAATAGGGGTAGTAATAGGGGTATGGGTAATGATATGGCCAGTGATAGGGGTAGTAATAGGGGTGAAGGGGTAGTAATAGGGGTGAAGGGGTAGTGATAGGGGTAGTAATAGGGGTGGAGGGGTAGTAATAGGGGTATGGGTAATGATATGGCCAGTGATAGGGGTAGTAATAGGTGTATGGGTAATGATATGGCCAGTGATAGGGGTAGTGATAGGTGTATGGGTAATGATATGGCCAGTAATAGGGGTAGTGATAGGGGTGAAGGGGTAGTAATAGCGGTGAAGGGGTAATAATAGTGGTAGTAATAGGGGTGAAGGGGTAGTGATAGGGGTAGTAATAGGGGTGAAGGGGTAGTGATAGGGGTAGTAATAGGGGTGAAGGGGTAGTGATAGGGGTAGTAATAGGGGTGAAGGGGTAGTGATAGGGGTAGTAATAGGGGTGAAGGGGTAGTAATAGGGGTAGTACTAGGGGTAGTAATAGAGGTTGTAATAGGGGTAGTAAGAGGTTGTAATAGGGGTAGTAATAGGGGTAGTAATAGAGGTTGTAATAGAGGTTGTAATAGGGGTTGTAATAGGGGTTGTAATAGGGGTTGTAATAGGGGTAGTAATAGGGGTAGTAATAGGGGTAGTAATAGGGGTAGTAATAGAGGTAGTAATAGGGGTAGTAATAGAGGTTGTAATAGAGGTTGTAATAGGGTAGTAATAGGGGTAGTAATAGGGGTAGTAATAGGGGTAGTAATAGGGGTAGTAATAGGGGTAGTAATAGGGGTAGTACTAAGGGGTAGTGATAGGGGTAAAGAGGTAGTGATAGGGTGAAAGGCTAGTGATAGGGGTAATGATATGGGTAGTAATAGGGGTAGTACTAGGGGTAGTAATAGGGGTTCATCGAGGGGGGGGGGGGGGGGGGGGGTTGAGCTCGCGTCATCGGCGGATACGGACGTTGCTTCACAATGGCCATGTCAGAGACATTGCCAGCACTGATGACATCCTGGGTTCAAGCCCTGGGTCTGAGTGTCTGGCTAGAGTTTGTCTCTCTCTCTCACATTAGGGTTCACAATGGCAGTGTCAGAGACACGGGGCCAGTATTGACAACAACCTGGGTTCAAGCCCTGGGTCTGAGTGTCTGGCTAGAGTTTGTCTCTCTCTCTCTCTCACATTAGGGTTCACAATGGCAGTGTCAGAGACACGGAGCCAGTATTGACAACAACCTGGGTTCAAGCCCTGGGTCTGAGTGTCTGGCTAGAGTTTGTCTCTCTCTCTCTCTCACATTAGGGTTCACAATGGCAGTGTCAGAGACACGGGGCCAGTATTGACAACAACCTGGGTTCAAGCCCTGGATCTGAGTGTCTGGCTAGAGTTTCTCTCTCTCTCTCTCTCTCACATTAGGGTTCACAATGGCAGTGTCAGAGACACGGAGCCAGTATTGACAACAACCTGGGTTCAAGCCCTGGGTCTGAGTGTCTGGCTAGAGTTTGTCTCTCTCTCTCTCTCTCACATTAGGGTTCACAATGGCAGTGTCAGAGACACGGGGCCAGTATTGACAACAACCTGGGTTCAAGCCCTGGATCTGAGTGTCTGGCTAGAGTTTGTCTCTCTCTCTCTCTTACATTAGGGTTCACAATGGCAGTGTCAGAGACACGGAGCCAGTATTGACAACAACCTGGGTTCAAGCCCTGGGTCTGAATGTCTGGCTAGAGTTTGTCTCTCTCTCTCTCTCTCTCACATTAGGGTTCACAATGGCAGTGTCAGATACACGGAGCCAGTATTGACAACAACCTGGGTTCAAGCCCTGGGTCTGAATGTCTGGCTAGAGTTTGTCTCTCTCTCTCTCACATTAGGGTTCACAATGGCAGTGTCAGATACACGGAGCCAGTATTGACAACAACCTGGGTTCAAGCCCTGGGTCTGAATGTCTGGCTAGAGTTTGTCTCTCTCTCTCTCTCACATTAGGGTTCACAATGGCAGTGTCAGATACACGGAGCCAGTATTGACAACAACCTGGGTTCAAGCCCTGGGTCTGAGTGTCTGGCTAGAGTTTGTCTCTCTCTCTCTCTCACATTAGGGTTCACAATGGCAGTGTCAGAGACACGGAGCCAGTATTGACAACAACCTGGGTTCAAGCCCTGGATCTGAGTGTCTGGCTAGAGTTTGTCTCTCTCTATCACGTAGTGTTTTACAATCGCCGTGTCAGAGGCATTGATCCAGCACTGTCGATATTTTGAGTTTGAAATGATCAGGGTGAGGGGTGAGGTGGCACAGGTGAGCGACACAGGCTAAGACAGGTGAGTCACAGATACGACCCATGGTACATGAGGCGAGAGACACAGGCAAGGTAAGTGAGAGACACAGGTGAGAGACACAGGCAAGGTAAGTGAGAGACACAGGTGAGAGACACAGGTGAGGCACGTGAGGTAGGTGACACAGGTGAGAGACACAGGCAAGGTAAGTGAGATGGACGGGTGACAGACACAGGCAAGGTAAGTGAGATGGACGGGTGACAGACACAGGCGAGGCAGCTGAGAGACACAGGTGAGACACAGGTGAGGCAGGTGAAACAGGTTATAGGGGTGAGAGACACAGGTGAAGCAGGTTATAGGGGTGAGAGACACAGGTGAGAGACACAGGTGAGGCAGGTGACACAGGTGAGGCAGGTTATAGGGCTGAGAGACACAGGTGAGAGACACAGGTGAGAGACACAGGTGAGAGACACAGGTGAGAGACACAGGTAGGAGACACAGGTAGGAGACACAGGTAGGAGACACAGGTAGGAGACACGGGTAGGAGACACAGGTAGGAGACACAGGTAGGAGACACAGGTAGGAGACACAGGTGAGAGACACAGGTAGGAGACACAGGTAGGAGACACAGGTAGGAGACACAGGTAGGAGACACAGGTAGGAGACACAGGTGAGAGACACAGGTAGGAGACACAGGTAGGAGACACAGGTAGGAGACACAGGTGAGAGACAGGTAGGAGACACAGGTGAGAGACAGGTGAGAGACACAGGTAGGAGACACGGGTGAGAGACAGGTGAGAGACAGGTGAGAGACACAGGTAGGAGACACAGGTAGGAGACACAGGTAGGAGACACGGGTGAGAGACACAGGTAGGAGACACAGGTAGGAGACACAGGTAGGAGACACAGGTAGGAGACACAGGTGAGAGACACAGGTAGGAGACACAGATAGGAGACACAGGTAGGAGACACAGGTGAGAGACACAGGTAGGAGACACAGGTAGGAGACACAGGTAGGAGACACAGGTAGGAGACACAGGTGAGAGACACAGGTAGGAGACACAGGTAGGAGACACAGGTAGGAGACACAGGTGAGAGACAGGTAGGAGACACAGGTGAGAGACAGGTGAGAGACACAGGTAGGAGACACAGGTAGGAGACACAGGTAGGAGACACAGGTGAGAGACACAGGTAGGAGACACAGGTAGGAGACACAGGTAGGAGACACAGGTGAGAGACACAGGTGAGAGACACAGGTGAGAGACACAGGTAGGAGACACAGGTGAGAGACACAGGTGAGAGACACAGGTAGGAGACACAGGTAGGAGACACAGGTGAGAGACACAGGTGAGAGACACAGGTGAGAGACACAGGTGAGAGACACAGGTGAGAGACACAAGTGAGAGACACAGGTGAGAGACACAGGTGAGAGACACAGGTGAGAGACACAGGTGAGAGACACAGGTAGGAGACACGGGTGAGCAGGACGGGTGAGCGATCCATCACCTCTGTGTGGGGTCCTCCAGTCCAGCACGAGCCAGGCCAGGTACAGGGTGGCGACCGGCCACAGGGCGGTGCACAGCAGCACCACCATCAGCAGGGGGCACACCACCCCTACGGGGCACGCACACACAAAGATCCCCCAGGTAGACTTTAACAGACCGTAGGGGCAAGTGCTGTTAGCGAGTAGCGAGCGCCTATGAAGGCTGGCACGGCACACGAGGTGGCGGGTGGCCAGCGCCACGCCCGACCGCCTTTGTCTCCCCCAGTGGCGATGTTTACGACACACCGCACCAGGTACTCATTTGAGGCTGAGTTGACCTCGGGGGGGTGGGGGGGGAGGCCCAGAACTGGTTCGGATAATCGTCACCGGTGTTGGTCGTGGGCGGGGATCGAACTCGGCTCGACCGGGGTTCACCGCTACACTACCAGAACGCAGACAAAGGGCTCCAGGGCTCCAGGTAGCCTCTGCAAGCCATGGGGGCAAGCACCGCTAGCGCTGGTTGTGTGGTGCGGGCACCGCTACTCGCCGACCCCGCCGCCTTTGTCTCCCCGGTGCCCGCAGCGGGCGCTCGTCCAAGGCGCGTGTGCGCTGCGTATGTGCCAGTCGGTCGGTCGCATACGCGGGGGTTCAATTGGAGGCACGCACTCGACTGTTGGAGGCAACACTCTTGATGAACGCGTAGCAACCAACGCGAACTTCATACACAGGGCGGTGACCCCACCGTTGCTCATCTCACTCGCACCCGGGGGAGTAGTGCACAGCGTGACCGGGGCCAGGTGACGGGCTGCCTGGTCCGCTGGTGGCGTCTCCATCCCGGGCTTGAACAGCCCAGCACTCTGTTCACGCCCACCCCCCCACCTGCTTATAACTCCCGTGGCTCCGCCCCAGGCCACGCCCCCCTTCTCGATCCTTCGGGAAGGTAGGGCCCCCCCCAACCACGTAACCCCCAAGCTCCTCCCCTGAGGCCCCTTGCCCCCCCCCTTTGTCCGGTCACGTGTCTTGTTGGGTTCACGCGGAGTGTCACGGGCTGACACGACCCCCCCCCCCCACCACGTGACACCCCGCCTACAGCGCCCATACCGAGCCAACACGGTAGTGACGTCATGTGTCCCTACGCTCGTACAGTCCCGACACAGCAGTGACGTCGTATGTCACGTGCACGTGCCTGTAGGATTGTGTCTCTACAATGTTCCCGTATGGGGAAAACGTGTGTGTGTGTGTGCGTGTGCTAGCAGAACGTCTCTTTGTACACGTGCACGTGTGTGCGTGCGTGCGTGTGTGCGTGTACGTGTGTGTGTGCCTGTGTGTGCGGGCGCGCGCCAGTAGTTCCGCATAGGCACGTGTGCCGGTAGTATCGCGTACGTGCACGTGCCAGCAGGAACGTGCGTGTGCGTGTGCCGGTGCGATCGCGTGCACACGTGCGCCAGCAGCATCCTGCGCGCACACACACATGCGGGCGAGCACACACACACACACACACATACACACACACACGGGCGAGCACACACACACACATGCGGGCGAGCACACACACACGCACACACACACACACGCGCACACACACGCGCACACACGCGCACACACGCACACACACACACACACACACACGCACACACGCACACACACACACGAGCACACACACACACACACACACGCACGCGCACACACACACACACGCACACACACACACACGCATACACACACACACACACGCACACACACACACGCACACACAGGCGAGCGCTTACCCGCCAGTAGAAAGGTGAGCTCCCACTGCAGGACCGCCAGCGCTTCGACGTGCGAGCGCAGCCGGTGCACCACGCCACGGGCGCCGGGCACGCTCCACTTGCCGCAAGCGCCATTGTCCCGCTCGCTGTCGACGCCGCTGACGCCGCCGCCGCTGACACCGCCGCCGCTGCCGACTGCACGAAAGACAAAAATGTTCCATGCCCCGGGGAGTAGATGCGATCACCATCCTTGACGATAAGCACACGCTTGGCCACGCATGGTGCGAAAGAAGTTCAACTGTACGTGCGCGTCGAAACCCCCCCCACTAGCCCTCTCCCTCTGGGCCTCGTTCGAGACCCAGACATCATCCGCTCCTCCTCTATGACACCGAGGGAAACCGTCAAACTCAAACCCGCTCGCTCACCAATTCACTCGCTCGCTCGCCCACCCAGTCGGTCACCCGCTGGCCAAGTCACCGACTCACTCACCACTGGTGAAACCATCAAACTCAGTTTAACACCATTCACTCGCCCACCCACTCACTCACCAATTCACAATTCACTCACTCGTCCAATACAACCGCCCGTTCGCCACCAAGCGACGGTGACATCACCACGGCGCGCCCGTGCCAGGCCACGTGCACGTCGAGGCCACGTGAAGTGTCGAAGGCTCTCAGCTGACAGGAGGAGGTCACGGGACAGACCCAGCAGGTGCCATGGGGTGACTGGCCGAGGTGAATGGCAGATGCACCTGCCAGCTGTGGCCCCTACTGTGCTGACCTGCTGAATTTTATCCGCTCCGCTCGTTGTTGTGAGCTTGGCTCCTCCGCCCTCCGTTGTTGCTGGAGGGGGACTGCCTCCAGCTGCCCAGCAGCAGCAGCGTCCTTCACGAGCCTCCTCCACCAGAGGGCAATCTTGACACCGCTGGCACCAGTCTTCGGCAAGTCCACTCAGGTGCCAGGGGTTGACTGGCTGAAATAACTGGCAAATCCACAAGCTGTACCCCCTACTATGCCAACTTGCTGCATCTTAGCCGCCCGGAACTCCACGAGCCTCCTCCACTCACCCACCCACTCGACCGCCCACCCGCTCGCTCACCCACCCACTCGCTCATCCACCCACCCACCCACTCGCTCACCCACCCACCCGCCCGCTCACCCGCTCACCCACCCGCTCACCCACCCACCCGCTCACCCACCCACCCAACCGCTCACACACCCACTCACTCACCCAACCTGACCAAAGTCACCTACTCCCTCACCACTGGTGTAACCATCAAATCACTCGCTCAACAATTCACTTACCCAGTCACCCGTTCACCACTGGTGGAGCCATCAACTGCATCACAACATCACCAGGCTGATGCACAAATCGCCTTCATGAATTGAAAATGAAAGATAGCCATATTCGTGCGACTATAGCGATGCAACCCAAGCATTGCACCACATACAGATAGACTAACAGATACTCATAGAGGTACATGAAAGAGAAGCCAAAGCAGAGTGGCCGTGCCCACATGCAACCCACACTATGGACCGCACAGTAATCCCATAGAGACCCACAAATACTCATAGAGACCCATAGACAACACAGAGATACACAGAGCCACATTGAGACTCAGAGACACATAGGAACACATAGAGACCCATGAATACCCATAAAGAGACAGATACTCATAGAAACCCATGCACATATAGATACACAGGGTCCCATTGAGACTCATAGATACTCATAGCGACCCATAGATACCCATAGGGACACAGACTCTCGTAGAAACCCATTGAAACACGGAGATACACAGAGCCCAATTGAGACCCATAGATGCCCAGAGGCCCATATAAACATATAGGATACATATATACTCAGAGACCCATAGACACACATAGAGACCCATAGATACCCAGAGACGCATAAAAACTCAAAGAGACACAGAGACCCACAGAGACTCAAAGAGATGCATCGATCTATAGAGACCCATTGAGACTCAAACGAGATACGGAGATGCATAGAGAGCCAGAGAGACTCAAACAGATACAGAGACTCAAAGAGATGCATCGATCTAGATAGCAACCCATCGAGACTCAGGCGATACATGACAGACACAGACGCAGCAGTGCGACTGCGGTGTCGAGCCTGCATTGTGGTCTTGTGAGACCAGAGAACGCCAAAAGGCGAACAGGAAGGAAGTCAAGGCAAGCGTCGGAGCGTTCGTAGCTCGGGTTCAGCAGTTAACGCCGATGGGACTCGTTTGGCAGTCCTATCACACAATGATGGGGGAGGGGGGGGGGGCTTTAACCTTTCTGGCGTCAAGATGATTGGGTCGATTGATTTATTACTGGTAGGAAACATAGTGGACTGGAAGCCCAAACGGGATTAATTCACATGAGGCAGGGGATTAATTGTGTATGTCTGTGGATGTCTGTCCACGTGTATCTGGACACCCTGATAAAATGGGAGGGGTGGGGCTGGGTGGGGAGGGGAGGGTGGGGAGGGGCTGGGTGGGGAGGGTGGGGCTGGGTGGGGGGGTGGGGAGGGGCTGGTCACCCCGTGGTGCCCTTATAAAACTCAACGTTTAACCGACTCACGCCGGCTTGTGCCCGCCCTCACAGTTGGGCATATTTGCGGAATACACCACGTGGTGGTGCCGTTGTTGTTGTTGACCCTGGCCATTGACCCAGCAAACCAACGTTCCTACCAGCTCCCTCCGCAGGAATGTTAAAACGCCAAGCGGCCAGTAACATTAAGCATCACTTTTAACAGAGTCGCAACAGAAGAGTAGGGTTCAGCGAGGCTATACACTACACTACACACTACTGTAAACACTATACACTACTATGAACTACACTACTCTATACACTACTATGAACAACACTATACACTACTATAAACAACACTACACCATACACTACTATAAACTACACTACACCATACACTACTATAAACTACACTACACCATACACTACTATAAACTACACTACACCATACACTACTATAAACTACACTACACCATACACTACTATAAACTACACTACACCATACACTACTATAAACTACACTACACCATACACTACTATAAACTACACTACACCATACACTACTATAAACTACACTACACCATACACTACTATAAACTACACTACACCATACACTACTATAAACTACACTACACCATACACTACTATAAACTACACTACACCATACACTACTATAAACTACACTACACCATACACTACTATTAACTACACTATACACTACTATAAACTACACTACACTATACACTACTATAAACTACACTACACTATACACTACTGTAAACTACACTACACCATACACTACTATAAACCACACTACACCATACACTACTATAAACCACACTACACCATACACTACTATAAACCACACTACACCATACACTACTATAAACCACACTACACCATACACTACTATAAACCACACTGCACCATACACTACTATAAACTACACTACATTATACTATAGACTACTATGAACTACACTACGCACTACTATGAACTACACTACACACTACTATGAACTGCACTACACACTACTATGAACTACACTATACACCACTATGAACTACACACTACTATAAACTACACTACACACTACTATAAACTACACTACACACTACTATAAACTGCACTACACACTACTATAAACTGCACTACACACTACTATAAACTGCACTACACATTACTATAAACTGCACTACACACTACTATAAACTACACTACACTATACCACTATTATGTACTGCACTACACTATACACCACTATGAACTACACTACACTATACACTGCACTACTAGACACTACACTAGACACTGTTGTTGTTGTTGTTCTAAGAGCGTGGGGGAGATGAGTCGACAATGATGCCGATGGTCAGAATCAGCATCTGTATTCATGGCTGCAGGAGGAATCCGGTGGGCTATGGAAGCTATTTTTCTTTCACAGATGTCCAGAAGTGACACGGGGTCAGAACGTTACAACAACAAACAGTTACGAAATACGACGATGATGACGATGATGATGGGACGAGGAGGGCATTGTTACGTGCAACACAAAGATCCCCCGTGTAGCCTTAACAGACTGTCGGGGCAAGTGCTGTTAGCGAGTAGCCAGCACCTATGAAGGAAGGCCGGCACGGCACACGAGGGTGGTGGATGGCCGACACGTGCACCCGGCCGCCTTTGTCTCCCCAGTGGCGATGTTTACTACACATCGCACCAGGTGTTAATTTGAGGCCGAGTGGACCTAGGGGAGGCCCAGGTGCGGTTCAAATAATAGGCACTGGTTCTGGCCGTGAGTGGGATTCGAACTCGGGTGGCCGGGTTCGTAGTGCAAAGGAGCGCTAACCAGTACACTACCGCTACTCGCATACACACACAGACACACACAGGTACACATTCAGCTACACAGACACACACAGGTACACATTCAGCTACACAGACACACACAGGTACACATTCAGCTACACAGACACACACAGGTACACATTCAGCTACACAGACACACACAGGTACACATTCAGCTACACAGACACACACAGGTACACATTCAGCTACACAGACACACACAGGTACACATTCAGCTACACAGACACACACAGGTACACATTCAGCTACACAGACACACACAGGTACACATTCAGCTACACAGACACACACAGGTACACATTCAGCTACACAGACACACACAGGTACACATTCAGCTACACAGACACACACAGGTACACATTCAGCTACACAGACACACACAGGTACACATTCAGCTACACAGACACACACAGGTACACATTCAGCTACACAGACACACACATGTACACATTCAGCTACACAGACACACACAGGTACACATTCAGCTACACAGACACACACAGGTACACATTCAGCTACACAGTGCACACACAGGTACACATTCAGCTACACAGTGCACACACAGGTACACATTCAGCTACACAGTGCACACACAGGTACACATTCAGCTACACAGTGCACACACAGGAACACATACAGCTACACAGACACACATACAGCTACACAGACACCTACACAGACACACATACAGCTACACAGACACACATACAGCTACACAGACACACACACAGACACACATACAGCTACACAGACACACACACAGACACACATACAGCTACACAAACACACACACAGCTA